GCTACTATATATATTATTTTTCTACATCGAATACTATTTTATTACTCAAATTTTAGGTGGTGTGGCAGAACACACCAAAACAATTAAACCAATAATATAACATTTAGTAATATTAGACGTAGCTAAATGGATTAGATGATCTCAAAAGAAAAAAAATAAGCTTCAAAGACGTAGAAATTCTTCGAGTTCTATAGAAAATTTCGACCACTACTGCTTTTTCCATTCCAAAAGAAGCTTTTAGGATATGAGTGCTAAGACATTTCATTGTCTAGATGAGGGTTTCCAGTTCTGAGTGAATAGACAATAATTTTTTTGGTTACGAACCTCCCTAATTCAAATACTTCCCTCCTATCCAAGCCAAGCCCCGTTTATTAGCTGCTTATGATGTGAAGACTTTGATATGTTCAAGCACATGTGCTACATATAGAGTCGATAATTATGATCATGAGGCCGATGGTCAATTCATTGTTATGAATATATGCAAGCTATGTGCTTGTTTTATCTAACGTATGAAGTTGAGTTTCTTTTTTTTTTTTTAAATTGGTTTTTAAAAAATTACAATGTGATTGGGTCTGATTCTGAAAGCATACTAGGTGAAGCTCCAAAACCTAAGCTCTAAGACCTGAACTGAGAGAGCGTGGAAGGATCTCTGGTGCTTGTTTTACTTTCAGGAAATGTCACTTACACAGATATGACAAAAATGCCCATGGTGTATGTATGTAGGAATGTGCAGAGAATGCATTTAATGATTGAGAAAAGAAAAATTTTGATGTAGTGTTAGTTAAAAGTGTTTTTTAAAATAAAATTGGATTGAACATCATTTAATGTTGGATAGAGAACGATATGTTGTTAGCATACGTACATGAGTGTTAAATATCATGTACACTAAAATAAAAGTATATATACACATGAGTCACCAGTCATGTATTCTAAGTAAAACCACATGTACACAACACTTATACATATGTAATTGTAAGGACATGAATAGTAGACGATATAAATGTACACGAAACCATATACATATGCTTTACCAGACATGTACACTCAGTGAAACTATATGTAAACGAACTCGCACATCTCTAAAGCTTCGACAATCTAAGTGAGAAGCTTTGGCTTTGAATATACATTTAACTCGCCGTAACATGATTGTCATTGGCCCAAACTATTTGTTTTGGTAACGTCTTAAGATGAGGAGACTGATTTAGCAAAAAAAAGATGAGGAGACTGATTCACCTCTGCTTTTGGTTTTGGTGTCGAAGAACTCTCCTAAATCAACTTGACTCGAGTTTTGGGTTATCGAATAACAAAGACAAACCACCAAATTTCGACTTTCCTAGGGTTTTTATTGGGTCAGAGACTTTTCCGGTGTAAAAGAAACTGAAAAATTTTCTATAGGAGAGAGAAAATAACTATTAGGCGTAGGAGAGAAATAAAATTTTATGATGGCTATACGTGTAGTCCTCGGTTTTCAAAGAAATTCATAAAAAAAAAACTATAAAAGTTTTTTGAAAAGTTTTGGTTGACAAAAAAAAAAGAGTTCTTTGAAAAGTTTTATTATTTAAGCGCTCACATTTTCTTTATTGCGAATCATTTTAATCTCTCAAAAACATAAAAGTTTGTTATGTGTCTATAGATGGAGGGCAAAACAATCACAATTTTGTGTAAATGACATTTTGTGAGAGATGAGTTTGATCTTATGACATCTATGTAACTAAAAGTGGAAGGTGTGATATTTCTATAAATATTTCTAAATTAAAACTGGTCGATATGAGGGGGATCCCCCTTTTATCGGTTAATTGTAACTTACATTAGAAAAAATATCCAAACGCATATTTTGATTGTAGGAACTACGTAAATCAATCTGAAAAACACAATCATTCTAAATATCGTCCTAATAATTGAGCCCAATATTGAATGATGGTCATTCATCGGGTTCTTAATCATCTCTACCAGTTTTGAGTAGTCTGTTTCAAATCTAATCGAAAATATTCATAATACATAATATATAATTATTTAATCACTCTTATTTGGCCAATTATCACGTTTTAGATCTATTAGAAAATTTGGTGAGGGTTATTCAATGGCTACAGTTACTCTAGGAAGATTAATCGGATGGTAACAATTCAGATTAACCCTTAATTTTTGAAAAAAAACTATAATATATAATTAATAGGATGACTATTGTTTTTCTATGAACTTGAGGAGCACTTAAAGGTAGGGGTGGAATTATTATCCGGGATTCGAGATCCGATCTGTTATCCATTCGGAATCGCTCCGAAAATTAGGATATCCGGAGAGTTCTGATCCAGATAAAGATAGTAAAATCTAGGATCCATGAAAAGAGGATCCGGATCCGGATAGCAAAATTTTAATGTCCGGATATCCGGATCCGGAATCGGACGCATTAAATATATTAAAAACATATATATTATATATCTATTAAGTTAATTTTATATAAATAAATATATATAAAAATTTATTTTAGTTCTTTTTATAATAAATTATATTTATAATGAAAAATACCATTAAAATATTAACTAATAATTTTTAAAAATATATTTTTATTTATTTATTCATTATTTTAATTATGTTTTAATATTAATTT